TATCACAAATCTAATTAAAATAGAAAATGATAATCAAAAATAATATGATAATATAAAGGAATAATTTTAATATTTTCATAATAAAATGAACTAGATGAATTTCAAAACCGAAAACATAAATTAACTTAAGAATATTTTAAATGAACTGAAAAATAATCTTAAAAAATAAATAACTGAATGATTAATATAAAACTTTCTTTTAAATAAATTGATTAAACAAAAAATGAAATTTATTTTTAATATAAATATATTTCATTATAAAGCTGGAAATTCATCTTGATTTGAAGTGGTTTATTATTTCTTTTATTTTGGATTCTAAATTTTTATTTAAATATATATATATACTTCTTAATTAACTTATTCTTCTTGATTTTCCTTTTTAGACCAATTTTCTTTATTTAAATAATAATCCTTTCTTTCTTAAATACTTTTTATAACTTTATCAATTTCACTTATATAAAATGGAGTACCCACTTTAATAGCATCAAAGAATTAAAGAGTTTATAAATCATGTTATAATAGTTCTGGTTTATCAGAATTATTTTCTACTTTTGTTTATTTTTATTATTATTATTACTTAAATTAATAATATTAAATACTTTATTCTTCTTCTTTGATTTCAATTAAGTAAAATTGTATAAATCATCTTGATTATCTTTCTTAATAACTGTACATTTTTCTTTTTTCCATTCATCACTCTTTAATACTTATTCAACATCTATTTATTTTTATTATTATTATGCTTATTATTATGTAGCATTTGGTTTGAGTTTATTGCAATAAGTAATTAAAGTATCACAAAGATCTTTATATTAGAATATAATAAATTACCAAGTTAATATTAGAATGGATTAATATTTTCTAATTCTTTAGCTCTAGCTTCTGCTTCTTCTTTTTCAGCAGCTTCTTATTCTGCTTCTCTTTTAGCCTTTGCTTCTTCTCTTTTCTTTCTTTCTTCTTCCTTCTTTTTTTTTTCTGCATCTCTCTTCATCCAATTAATTTGTTTTAAGAGCCATTCTCTATATCTCTACAAGTCTTCATTATCTTCATATTTATCCCAAGCCAAATTGTAATCTCTTTTTAATTTTTCTTTTCTATCTTTTAACTCTTAAACTTTTGCCTCAATATTTTATCTTTCATTATCAATTAATGGATTAGCTTTATTGACAACTGAATCTTTGGTACTATCCTTTAATTTTTCATAATCTTATTTATATTAATTAATTTCTTCATTTAATTCTTAAATACTATTATATACTGTATTCATAACTTTTCCAATAGCAGATGATTTTGTCCTTAATATCTTCATTTCCTTTTCTAATTATTAAAGTGGTTCAATATATGGAAGTGATCTTTCTAAAGCACTTACTTATTAAACTATTCTTTTTTCTTCATTAGCACTTAATTTATCTTGTTATAATGATTCTTTTAATCTTGCTAATTCATCAATTATTTTATCTGGATTATCTAAACTCTTCATCTTTTATCGATATTCTTAAGCTTAATTGAAAAGTCTATTAATTTATTCTTTTATTTCATCATTTTCATTCTTCATTTTCTTTAGTTCTCCTTATTTCTCAGTAACCAATTTAATTTTGTCTCCAATCACTTATCCTAATGGTTTCACTTCATTCTATAACTTTTATTGATTTCCTTGTTTTGCCTTTTATTATTATTCCTTAACATTTTTAACAAAATCATTCTAAATATGATTTATGATTCAATACAAAATGATTCCATTATTTTCTTATTTCTTCATCAATTTTATCTAATTATTTATAATGCTCTTCTTTATTTGGTTTTTAAGGAGGATGAGCAGGTAATTCAGGTACTTTTGTATCAATAGTAATCTTAGTTTTATCCCAATCAAATTCAGGTCTTTTTCTATCTTCTCTTCTATTCTTCTTTTATTATTTTTCTTAATTCTTATCTTAATTATCTTTTTCTCCTTCTTTTTAAGCTAAAATATTTTGCAATTAATTCTAACCTTCCTCTCCTTTTACAATATATTGAACCTATTATTATTTTTGTTTAGGTTCTCGTTTTCTATTTTCCCCTCTACTCTAATTAGGTTTATTCTCTTCATTTTTCACTTCTATCTATTGAACTGGATCCATAGATAATTTATTTTTATAAATATAAATATTTTCTTAATCACCTTACACGTATATAAATTTGATATCATTATATTTCTATTTATCAAATATTTTAATTTTATCTTTAATTTGAAATCTGTTTATTAAGTATATATATATATATATAATTGTCATATAATCAAATAAACAATAGTTCAAGATCTTAAGAGGTTGGTGGTTTTTATAGAATTTTGTCTGCACCAGCACTAAGACAATTTTTTTGAGTCTTCATATCATTGAAAGCAGTCAACATATAAATCTTTATCTCTTGATTAATCCGTTTTATTTCTTTAATACATTATAATCCATTCATTCCAGGCATATTGAAATCTAAAAATACAATGTCATAACATTAAGTTATTATCATATTGATTGCTTCCTTTCCTCCAAAAGCAGTATCAACTTTATTGATTCCTATTTTTGATAATTATATTTTAAGTAACATATTATTAAATGACTCATCATCAACAATTAGAACTTATAATTAATCTCTTTTGTTAATCATCTTATACAATGGAGTTAAATGATTGGTACTAATTATGTTTTTATATGGAGAATGTGCTGAAATATCATAATCAATAGAATCGACACTAAACTAATCTTATTATTAGTGATGCTATTTATCATAATTTTTATAAATGACAAATTAAAATGTTGAACCAACTCCAACTTATGATTATAGATAAATGTACTATAATGGCCCTATGTAACCACACAACTATTTACAGATGATCAATCCTAAACCAACACCATTTCTAACATTTTAAACTAATACTCTACTTATTTGTGTTGCTATCATTATCATAGGTGGCAAAATTTCTGAAAAGTCTTCTCTATATTTCTTGGCTCATACCACTACCATTGTCAGATACTGTACATAGAATCAATCTTTATTAATTTTTAAAGAGAGTATTAATATCAACGACTGATTTATTAGTTTAAATCTATTCTTTAACATTTTAAGAAAATATACAAATATTTTATGGATCATCAGAAAAAGTAATTGATATTCTTCCTTTTGATGTAAATTTGATTGCATTTGAAAGTAAATTAAAGAGAATTTGCTTAATTCTTAAAGGATCATTATTTAAAGATTAAGATAAATTTAGATTAGAAATAATATCTAATTATAAGTTCTTCTTTTGTATTTAGATTTAAAATACATTTTTAACATCCTAAATTAATTACATAATATCAAACTAACTAATTGCTAATTTTAACTTCTATTATTTAATCTAAGCAAAATCTTATAAATCATTAACAAATGATTATAAAATTTAAACATTTGTTTAACACATCTCTAAATAATTACAACAAGATTATATTTTCTATAATATATCTGGATTTGTTTCCATTTCAGATAATTCAAATAAACTATCCTATACTAATGTTATCATGGATTGAACTACAAAAATAGGATTCTTTAAATCATGACTAACTGTAGCTAATACATTATCTTTATATTGATCCAATTTCTCAAGTTAAGATATTTTGATCCTATCTGTTATCTCAATTAAAGAAACTATATAACTTCTTTGATGTTTCCATATACATGGAGTTACTAAGATATCATATGTTTAATGATGATGATTACTCATTAATCCTGTTAATTTTAAGGGGAAACATTCTTAAATTTCTTTGTTTTAAGAGTTATTAAAATATTAATAAAGAATTTAATTTAATGTATAAGGCTTATCAATAATATTAATTTATTCACCTGTGGATGCTTTTAAATTATTTTAAGGTAGTTCTTAACTTAAATTGATTTTAAAATTACATTAAGAAATATTAGACTCATTGCAATTAATTATATTTATTTATGTAATTCTTTAATATAAATTTTCAATACTAGCAAATTCCTTTTTACAAGCCTAATTAATAAATAGTACTTCAAATTAATCTTACAAATTTCTATCAGAATTCAACTTTATAACAAACAAATTTTATTGTAGACTATGATTAAGTACTACTTCTTAATATGACAGATCATGGCTAAAGTTAAATTTCTCAAAGAAATAAACTAATTTTCTTCGCTCTCTCAAATATATACTGATAGCAATTGCTAAAATAAATATCCATTAAAAAGGTAAAAGAATCCAATCAAAACAATTATCGAAATACATATAAGTAATTTACATTATTGCAAAATAACAAATTAAGTATTTCTTATTGTTTAAACTTTAAGTAATATATATATAATATAGTTGCACATATCCATTAATTTGAAACTAATTACTATCAAAACTTAAAAAGATATGAAGTGCTACAACATGAATTATTTTCCAATAGTCATTACATTTTGAGTTCTTCTTTATACTCCATATTTGGAACAAACTTGATAATGGAAAAACAATAAAGATTTATGAATATATTGACTAAGTATCCTAAACTATTGACGAAATAGTCAAAGCTAATTCCAAAAACATTTTAAAAGTTTCTATTAACATCATTGTACTTTGATTTAACTTTTTCTAGAAAGTTTTAAAACTTTTCTAAACATTCTAATCTCTGAAATTTAGAGTTGGATTCAAAAAAACATTTTCAGATTATAAATTTCTTGATAGCGACAATAGATACTACATCTAGAGTTATTAATTATATTTCTTATATATATATAATATTTTATAAATATTTTATAAATATAATGAAATATAAGATATATCTTACATAATACTTTATCTAATTCAACACTTATCTATTAATTTACAAATTAAAATAAATTAATTCGTTTCTCAAGTGAATATATGTATATGCACCTAATATGTAATTAAAAACAAAAGATAATTAATGAATAATAAAATTTAATTAGATCTCTACTATTATATAAATTATATTATATATCATATTATTATAATTAATATATATATGAAAGGTGAGATTTCTTTTCAAAATAACGAAAATAACTAAAATGTTATGGTTATTACATATGACTGTGAATCCAATATTTAATTTAAAGGTAAATTAGAATAGCTAACATGGGAAAAATAAAAAAAAATAAACTTAAAGGATGTCAATAAAGAAAACATTTGTTTACTTGAAATAAAGTCATTCACTAATGAATAAGTATAAGGAAATGGTCGATAACCATTTACTGTAAAATATAAATGTGATAGTTCGGCAAAAACATTGTTATAGATTTTATAAGAGGAACCAAATAAAGTTAAAAAAATACTCTATTTCTATAAATTAATAGATTTGGCAAATATTCTAAAGAAATAAAAAATAGTTCATATGAACTTGAAATTATACAATATTATATGGTATAAGTAAAAATTTTATCTGATTAATTTTGGATACTTAGATACATATCCTTCTCAATATGTTACTAGTTTAAATTATGGTAATGAACAACAATATGAGACTGATCGTTAAAGATATTTATATCCTTATTTAACTTAAAATTTTTTGACTTTTATAAAAGATAATTTAGGAAATAAAGACCTAATTGAGAAACATTTAAAAAATATATCAGAAGAGAAGAAGCAAAAATATGATCTATATGCCTTAGGGATCATGATGTTGGAATTATTTGTACCCTTAGAAAAAATATATAAAAATTTTTAAATATAAACTTATGATAAAAAAACAAAAAAATATAATATTATAGAGTAGTTAAAAAGGATCGATGATTGTTAAGATATTTATGGAAAAGATACTTGCGAGAAAATTAAATAAATTCTTAATGATATTTTTATTGAAAAAAAATTACCATCAGAGAAAGATTATAATTCTATAATACAAATTTTTGAAAATATTCAAAAATAATAAGAAGAATTACAAGAATTACAAAAAAGGGAAGGACAAAGAGAAAATGATATTGGTCAACAATAGCATATTCAAAGAAATTCAACTATTATTTATGAGGAAAATTAATCATTTATTAATAATAGCTTTGAAAGTAGACCTTTACTTTAAGAATAAATTTTATAATAAAAAATGAATCCTTAGCATGAAAGTTATGTCAAAGATCTTATAGATAAACAATAAATCTATGATTTCGATCCTAAATTATTATATTATTTAAATCATATGGATCTAATGGATTATTAAAATAAAATAAAGGATACACCAACTCTTGATCATATGAAAAAAAAAGGAAAGCATCTATAGCGTTTATTAAATATGGATTATCTCAAAAATAAGAAATATAATGAATTCTCTCAATTAGATAAAGAAGATAGATTTTACCTATTATAAAATTATCTTAAAGATAAAAATAATTAAATTGATACTGATATTTAAGAAGCAATTGAAAGTTTAAACTAAATCCCAGACAATTAATTTTAATTTAATGAAATTAAAAAAAATTCACCAATCATCTAACTAAACACTGAATAAAGTTTTCTCGAAAAGCTAAATCGATAAATGCCAGTCATAAAACGCTTTATAGAATATTAAATGTTATTTTTACTGAATTAGAACGATTAATAATTTAATTGGAAATTTGAAGATGAATAAGAAAAGTAAATCAACAAATATTAAATGATTTGTGCGAAAGTGAAAGTGTTGGATAAAAATGAAATTTGGTATTTTTTTGACTTAGAAAGAATGGAAAATGCTCAATTAAATTAAGAAATTACATAATTACATATTGGAAATATTGAAGATAATCAATTTAAAGGCAGAATTATTGAATATATACCAAAAGTTAGTAAAAATGTAAACCCGAAAAAGAAAGGCTTAATTGTAGATTATGAAGAAGTAGAAGTTAATCTTCATGATATGTTCAAAAAAGGCGAAAATGTTAAAATTACTACTTATAAATAAAACAATTTTGAGAAGATATCAGTTTATACAGGAAATTTAAAGAACAATGAATATCATGGAGAAGGTAAGATTATAGACTTGTAAAATAATTATTATTACTATGGAGAATGGAAGAATGGCAAAAAGGATGGAAAAGGAGAATTTAAAGTACTAAGTACAGAGTTTTAATACAAATATGAATTTAAGGAACTGAAAGGAATATTTTCAGATGATCATATTGAACAAGGTTCTAAAATCAAATTTTTTCCTAATCTTAAATTTCAACCCAATACTCTTTCTCCAAACTAAAACTACGAAGAAGGCAGTGGAAATTTTTATTTTGAAGAAGCTGTGAAAGTTTATTATTACAAAGATAAATATAGAGTAAAGATTGAAAGTTCACAATTATATAAAGCAATTTAGAATAAATTAAAAAATTTATGTTGTAATTTATCAAATTTATGCAAAAAGTAGTGAAGTGCAGAGTGAATTAACATAAATTAAAGATAGATAATATTTATATATAATTTTATATTTTTATTGATTAGATCCTAAATAAAATAAATGAAAAAATATCTTAAATCCACAGAATTATTTAAATATCATAAAAAATCTGAATTTCTAATTTTATTTTTCCAAGCTATCATTTATTCAAAATTGCGCTTATCATTTTCTATTGTTGATTGAAAAAATGATCTTGGTACTTATATTATATACTCAAAATAATAATAAGGTCGGAAATAGAAGAATTAAAATGAATCTAAGTATAAATATTCTTAGACAATATTCCAAAAAATACTAATTACTTATTTCAAAAACTATTTTATAGACTAATACTTCATTAATACTCTTTAAAGTTTAACAATATTTGATTCTAATAGCATTAACAATCTAAAAATATTGAAAAATTAAAATGATTCAAAATCAATACAAAAATAACAGAAATGTTAATTTTGAAAATTAATGTAAATTTATCGAATATTACTAAAATGAATTTATTGTTCTAATTCCCAAAAGATTAAAATAAATTCCTAAAATAAATAAGCTCACTAAATAGTTGATCCCAATTTAAAGATAGAAAAATAGAAAATGTATCAACAAAAAGAGAAATCTAATATATCTAATTTTGAAAAAACTGAGAAAATTGAGAAGTTTGAGAAAGGAATATTAATCATTGCTACAAATAGGATTAATTAAGGTAAATTTGAATTTTAAGAAACTGATTATTTGATAGAAGAAGTAATTAGAAGTATTCATTAATCTTCATTTTAAATTAATAAATTTATAGAATAAAATATGGATAATCTGATATAATCAACTCTCTTTATATTATTAAATGACTGATTAGTATGAAGGCATATAAATAAAATTATTAAATAATTAGAAATGTTTTGTTGTTCATCTTAAAAAAAAAAATAAAATCCAAAAGCTACATAGGAACTATTTGAATCAGGAAATCCTTAGAATGGAGCGTAATGATTTATAATTTGACATTTAGAGGTTTTTAACATCAAGAGGTAGCTCCTGAAATAGATGATAGACCAAAAAAGCATCATTCAATGGGATATTAAGTATAAGATGAAAATGTATCAGCATCTATTTGTCCTTCTTTTGTAGTAGGAAAAACACCATTCACTGTTTTCGTGATGAGGGTTCTTGAAAAATAATAGAAAATGAAATAAGAATTGCAGTAGTAAGAGGAGATGAAAATTGACTTTTAGGAGGATCTAAGTGTCATTGTTAATTATCCTTAAATATAAGCTGAAGTAAAAAACAATGAAAATGATAAATCGCAATTTGAAGAAATAGCAGAAGAACCAATTCAAGAAGAGGATGATGAAGATGATAGAGAAATGTCAGAAGAAGAAGCTAAAAATGCAGCTATTTACAAATGGGCAAGAGAAGTTCATGATTATAATGCAGACAATACAGAAACATTAATATTATAAGCGGTGTCTAATTTTAAACCATTGCAATCTAAAGAGGAATCTAGATCTACCCTGGCCCATAAAGATGGAGGAAAAGTATGCAGAAACAAAAAACTTATTAGAACATTAAGAGCTATAGGCAGAGACATAATCAATTAAATAGGTAGGCAAATATTATCTGGAAATTTGAATCTCACTACAGTTTCATTTCCTATCAAAGCTATGATTCCTAAATCTGCTTTGGAGAAAGTATTGATGTCTAGTTGTTTATTTCCACTTTATATTAATAGAGCTACACAAGAAAAGGATCCAATTGAAAGAGTATTAAATTTATCTATTTTTTATAGTTAAAGCTCATTATTTGCGCCACATTAGGAAACTTTTATGTTAATTGTTCTTTCTTAAAACCTCTAAATCCTATTCTTGGAGAAACTATTTCTGGATTTTATTAAGACGGTACAATTGCATATGCTGAATAAATTTCCCATCATCCACCTGTGAGTTATTTTCTAACAATTGGACCTAAAAATAGTTATAGATTTTATGGATATTATAATTATGAAGCGAAAGCAGGATTTAATTCATTATCATTAAAAAATAAAGGAAAAAGATATTTATCATTTCCAGGTGGAGATCTTATAGAATATAATTTCGCTGGAGAAGAATATAGCGGTAGTTTTTGGGGACCAATGAAGGTAGAATGTAAAGGCAAAATCAATTTTGTTGATAAAAAAAATGATATAACTGCTTGTGTAGAATTAAATGGTGTTACATGGAAACCAACTGATTATTTATAAGGAGAAATCAAAAAGAAAGGAAAAAAAGTATGCAAAATTTATGGCTCATATATGGGTTATATTGAATTTGCAGAAGTTAGATATTGGGATGTTAATTATATTAGACCCTATGAATGCAAGATTTTTAAACCTAATCCTTTGTTATAAAGTGATGCTTCATTTAGATAAGGTATATACTATTCATATATCACTAGATCTAAGATGTCTGAAAAGAAATTAAGTCTTAGAAGCCCAAGAATAAAAAGATACTTTAGAAATGGCATAAAGATAGGAGGCTAAATTAAGAAAATTAAAAAAATGATTCATCACTCTACATTTTTCTTATTTATTATTCTTAAAAACAATTCTTCTACTTTTTAAATCATCATATATTTAAATGAATTATCAAACAAATATTCAAATTATTATTATAATAATCATTTGAATTGTATCAACGAAGGTTAATACATAAAATAGAGAAAGAACAGATTAGTAAATTACCTTTAAGTACTAAATTAATTTCCATCAGATATAATTACAAACATAAGAACAATTATTATGAAGAATAGAAATCTTATATAAAATAAACTTGATAAGATATTATTGCATTTTAATTTTATAATTGGATTGAATCGAACTAATCTATTCGTATTATTAATGAGTTATTTAGCTTTAATCATGTTTAAGGAAAATTTAAGTATATACTTTATGAAATTCATAAAATAATATATATTATATAAAGTGAATTATTATATCATATAATTTAAAATTTTCTCTTTTATATTTTGTGAAGTGAATTAAATGATCATATCATTATAAAATTAATAAAATAAAAAGTAATTTTATATCAATATTAATAAAAGTTTAATAAATAATAATATACTTTATCAACTTTATA